AATAATTATTTAAAACACAAAAAATTGAAAATATAGTCTTATACCTGGCAACATATATCATATCTGCTAATCTGCAGTAATAACTTCAGCCAGACTGCAGCAATTACATCAGCCACCTGCTCCAGCCATCAAAGCCAAACTGGAGTTATCATTTAAGCCATATTGCCAAAACCCCTTGGCCAAATTGCAGCCACAATATCAGTCAAATAGTAACACTGCGATACATTCTAACAAATATTATGTTAGTAATCATGGATCAACAAACAAACTATAAACTTCCCTTATAATACACATTTTGACTAGCTACATCACAATGAATCATAAAATATATTGAAAAACTGGGTTTTAAAAAAATTGATAGAAACCCATGATCACAAAAGACAATAAATACCAGGCTTTGGAAAGTATCTTTAGCACAAAATATAATGATTATAGGACTAAGGAATGTTCAACAAAAACTTTCACCACAAAACATTCTGAAAATAGGGCCTGGGAATATGAATTATAATTTTTAGATCACAAATTATAGTAAGTATAAGGATTGGAAAAAATAAGCCTTCACCTAAAAACATACAGAAAATGGTACCTGAAAATATAAAACAACGTAGTGTGATTACAAATTGTAATTAAAATTAGGCTTCAGATCACAATACAAGGTGAAGATGGGGCTTTGAAGAATAAAGCTTGATCACAAAACGTACAGTAAATGTGGCTTGGAAACATAAAGCATTACAAATTATGATAACAAACTTGACTTTAATCCCCAAGCCTTGTGCAACATTTTAGTGAAAAACTGGCTTTGGGACTTTAGCTTTTATCACAAATCAAAATTTAATAAATAAAAATGGAGTTAATTTAAAAAAGAAAATGGAGTTTGGGAATATAAAGCATCAAACAGTCATCACAAATTATTGTGAAACATGAACTTAGGTCCTAATCACAGAATGTAGTGAAAATTGGGCTGAGGAACATAAGCTTTGATTACAGAATGTAGAGAAAATAGGCTCTGAAACACAAGCCTTGATCACAAAATATAGATTAAATGGGCTTTGAAATGTAAGCCTAGAAGCATGAGACATCATAAATGTTAATGAAAATTGGGCTTTGAAACAGAAGCATTGACCATTAAGCAACAAAAAATTAGAGTTTGACAAATAAGCATTGGCGCTGAACATAATAAAAAATTTATTTGAAACATTAGAACATAAAAAAAAAAAATGAAAACAATGAATGGGCATATTGAATTAAATTTTGACAGAAATTTTAGGAAAAAGGGTTAATGTCAGAAATCATGGGAATGAAGTAGAGTATCACTGTTTAACAGTTCTTTATAACAGTCTAGAAGAACAACAGATACATGATTAAAGAATTGAGAAAAGGGATATGTTCTCTCCTTCCACTGGTCATTAACCTTCTTTTGTTTTCTGTACCCCTCCTCTATAATTGTAGCCTGAGTGCTTATCAGTCATTGGCTTAAAATTACTAATTGGATGCCAGTCTAGCAGAAATACATCCCAGATACACTGTTAAACTGTATAAAACCGTCATGAAAACTATTTAACCTTTGTTACCAAGTAACTTCTTGGTCACTGCAAAGACAATATCCATTCATTGCCCTATTCTGCCATTATATCTCACATAGGGTTCACAGCTTTTTACTCTGTTCCATTATGTAATGTGCAATTAGTTCAATATCATTGGTTGGAATTCAGTCCAGCACCTCTGGCCTCTCTCACAACGTTTGTTTTGTGGTTTATTTTTGATGTCCTTACCTTCTTAATCATATTAATTTCCCATTTTAGTGCCCACTAGGTGATTCTATGCTCTTCCCCCCCCCCCCCTCAAGATGTGTTCTGTATAGTTGCATCTTCTCTGTCTTATAACTGTTGAAACAATATACTGTTCTAAAATGCTTCTTTGCAACTCACTGTATTTACCTTGACATCTCTTGTGTAACTCCTTCATAACAAAACATTCAATACTCAGAGGTATAAAATCTTAGAACAAAACATGTTTCAATAACAACTGTCTAGGACTGTTGGAGGTAAAACTTGTTGCATCAATTTTTCTTGATTTTGCCTGGACTAATTGTTTGTTTAATATTTTTTAAATAGGACAGTGAACGTTTTATTATGTGATTTTTGCTGGCACAGGAATGGAGAGGTAATGGGGTAAACTGATTGTAGTGAAGTCAAACCTCAACTAATACTACTACTAAAACTGTTGTATTAGGGCACTCTACTGCTACAAGAGAGAACCATTGTGGTGTAGTGGCTAGACGCTCACCTGAAAGGTTGTGAGGTCAGGTCCTGATGGAGCCGGTCATTTTTTTGTTTTCAAAAGTGAATTTGGCTCTCAGTTCCACCCAACCTTAAATGGATGCCAGGTACATTCCTGGAAAGTAAAGGCGGCTGTTGTGATACTTGCCACATCATCCACCGAATGCCAATTGGTCTATAAAACATAGGTCTAGCCCTATATGCCTAAGCTGTGGATACTGGACCTTTACATCACGTTGCACTGCTACAAGAAGTATCTTTCTTCCCTAGATCACTTTGTACTGCTACAAGAAGTATCTTTCTTCCCTAGATCACTTTGTACTGCTGCAAGAAGTATCTTTCTTCCCTAGATCACTTTGTACTGCTGCAAGAAGTATCTTTCTTCCCTAGATCACTTTGTACTGTTACAAGAAGTATCATTCTTCCCTACATCACTTTGTACTGCTACAAGAAGTTTCTTTCTTCCCTACATCACTTTGTACTGCTACAAGAAGTTTCATTCTTCCCTACATCACTTTGTACTGCTACAAGAAGTATCCTTCTTCCTTATAAAGATGCAGAGATTATATGTACACTAACTATAATTATAAAAATATGGACACAACACAGGCAGATATAAACGCAAGGAAACAATTGTTTGCATAGAAAAAATGTCTAAATCAATCAATCTCATGCTTTCACTACATTGAAGGTTTATGCAGAGGAGCTTCAACATTCTCTGCTTTTCTGACTGGTTGTGTTTGCTAGCTCTGCCTGGTGCATTGGAACAGGGGTGCGTAAACACACTGAGCTCCCCCCCCCCCCACCCCAACAACATTTTTTTTAACCCTTACCCCTACCTCGTGCTTGTCTGACTAAATATTTTGTCTTCTAGCATGAAACTTTGAAATATCTAATCTATCTTCTTGATGATGTTACTGAGGAAAAGTCTTGTTTGAATTCTGTATACGTAGCATCTGTGAAAACATTGCTTCACATTGCTCCAGCTCTTTTCATGCACTGTTAGGAATAACTTCTCACTCTCCTTCTCAAGGAGAAAGGAGGAGAGTCTCCTTTATAACCTTCTACTCTTGGAAACTGTAGAAGTGCCTTGGAGTGACTCCTGCATCAGATCAGAGGACTGAGCACACATGGGAATGCCTAATTTGCAGTGATATAAACTATAAACACATAAAATAAAATTAAAATAACAAAACTTTTCCAAGAGTGTAACATCTCTATGATTTCCTATCCCTGACATTCTTATGATTCTTCAGTATCATGACACACTTGTTTCAAGCAGGAATCATGGTGCCGTATTCTGTTTCTATGGTATCACTACATTATGTTGTTGTCATCGTTCCCTCCCCCTTTTTCTTTTTCTTTTTCCTTCCTTTGTATTCCCTTAAAGAGTTGTTGGCACATTGTTTTGTCATGTACAGCCAGGCAGCAATATCTGCATCTTTCTCCCCAAACACATTCTATTTGAGCAAAACCCTAATTAGTCAACTTTCACCACTTGTTCACGGGCAGTGTTCTGTTCCTCTACCATTTTCAAAAAATGGGCCTCAGAACCTCACACAGAGAATTGAATGATTTACTAATTCCTTGTTTTGTTTTCTCCCTTTATCTCCCACTTGAAAAGGACCACAACCAAGTGGTGCCAAAACTTTGTATCCTTTGCTATGCCTCTCTGTAAATATCCTATTCTACTCAAATGCTCTTTTTCATTTAGTACTAGGTCTTCCCCCCCCCCCCCCTTTTCTGCATTTCTTTTTGTTTTCTTAAATTCTTAAATTTCTTTATGATCCATATTTCTTAACAGTCTGTCAACAACAAATTTAGGTACCACAAACTTCATTGTATGTTATAATAAATTAATGATCATGTTATCCATTTGACAGAGCCATTATTTAATTCCGTAGTTAAAGTAGTCTTTATTTGTTCTTTATTGATAAAGACTGGAAAAGCAGCGGACTGAATGGTTGAGAACCCTAGGTTCTGATGCAGAAGATGCAAGTTTGAATCAACCGTAGGGTTATGGGTTGTTGTTTTCTCCAATCAGGGGCAAACAGTGAAAAATCCTTAGCTGCACAGCCACTGGCGATTGCAGCAGCTACGTGGCTCTAAATTATCGGATCTAGCTGCCTACATCACGATAGTGGTATAGATTCAAACTGTAAATGATATTTTTGTATATGTATTGATGTCAGTCGATATAATCTCTTCTCATTTATGTGTCTTTCCCTTCACTGAGTTCCATAGTCCCTCTTTTGTTTTTTGTGTGTTTGTATGTGGTTTTTTTTTTTTAAATTTATTCTGTCAATTCCCAAATCTCTTTTATTTGCTTCTTTCATTTGTAAAAAATATACAAACTGTTTCATAATGTCTTTATGCTGAATATATTTTATTGATTTTGTCCATTCATGCCTCAGTGTTAGACTGCTATCACCATCATCATCTTTATCATCATTATCATCATCATTGTCATCATCTGTGCTTTTGTTCTGGCAGTACTGGCTCCCACTTTTGAGCAACAAGTTTCTCTCTTGTGCTATTGTAATATACCCTTTGTGGAGAGTAGTAACACAGGTTTTAATTAACTCTGTTTTGGGTACCGGCACCACCCCCCCTCCCTTTTCAACATCATCCTCATAATTATCATCATCTTCTATCATCATCACCATGTAAGCACACACTCACTTATTTCACCTGTCACACAGACACATTGCTAATCCCATATCATGAATCATTAACAAACAATGGATATCTTACTGTTAAAATTACCAACACAGCAAACAATATGATCTTTATCCATGCCATTGAAATCCTTGTAGCAATCCCAGTCTGCTCCCAGCGTTCGACCCTGTTTAAAGGATCATCTGGGTTGTCCTCGGCGGGAGTGGTTTTATCCCCGGGCAGGGCTGCGTAGTAGAGAAACTTCTGCAAAATATGAATGACTCCATTGCTGGCAATCAGGTTCCACTGTTTTATCTTGCTGTGCACGTTTCTGTACCGAAGGTAGACGGCTGTAAAAGAAGAAGTGACATTTAATATAGCAGTGCTGTATACAGGCATAAACTGACTACGCTACAGCTTAATGCCTCACAATCTGCGAAGGCCTTAAAAACAAGTTTTTGTTTAAACTCCCTAGAAATATTTTAAAATTTTTTATTAACTGGATTGTGGGCATATAATCTGAGGCATTTATGCTTTTTTTTTTTTTTTTAAATTTTTTATAAAATTGTAACCAATTTAAATTGAATAAAATAATCAGTCGTATATGTGTCAGCTTCCCCTTTTATTAACTTATAAAAGGGTAACTCCAGAGGTTGAGCATACAGGACGTTGCAGAACCAACCCTAACAGCCCCTGGCTGTTGTGTGGTTTCTCCAGGCAATTTACATCCAGTAGTTTGCCATTGCTTCTGGACGGTCGGCTTTCTTGATACCACTGTCGAAACCAGCGCAGGGCGCATTGCCCACAGCTGGGATCGAACCTGGCATCCCGGCATTATGAAGCGAAGCGTTCGCATCGACTTAGCCACGGAGCCGACACCTGCAGAATATGGACCACAGAAATATCAGAGGCAATGAAACGTACTTTATACGAAGCGAACAAAAGGGAACGATCCAGAGATCTCTTCCTGACCTGATGCCACCAGACATCCCAGGAGCAGAAAAAAAAAAGATATATTTTAAAGTGTTCTGAGAATATTCTTCTCTTCCCCCTTTTGCTCCAGCGAAGTGTCGGGGTAGGGGTGGGGTTGGGGGAATTTATTTACGTTTATATTTACGTTTATTGAACAGGTCTGTCAAGGGTACTATTATGATTAATGTTAATTTCTGTCAGGCTATTTTACGAGGTTTTCCCCACGCTCTATACTCGTTGTAACATTTCAGTGTGGCTTGCTGTGGCAAATAGCACCAGGGCATTCTTCTTATATGTTTATTTGTTGTTCTTTGATGATCTATAAAACTGGCTTTATTCCTAGCATTCTTCTAATTTCGTGATTTCGTATTCTGTCTTTTCTTGAAACTCCTGTAGCTCTTTTCAGGCATTTCATCTCGGTTATCACAGTTTTACATCATTAGATAATATAAGTGTCCATGTTTGACACTGATAGGATGGTTTTGACCAAAAAACAGTTATTAGATTCACTGTAGTATTCCGGGTATCTGCTTGTGTGTCAACAGGGGAGATAGTTGCCCCAGAACTTAATTGGCTTTAGAACATCTCGAGCTAATTTCTCTGGTAGTTTTCCATCGGATGTGAAGAAGAAGAGGAAGAAGAAGAAGAAGAAGAAGAAGAAGAAGAAGAAGAAGAAAAAGAATAAGGAAAAGAAGAAGAAGAAGAAGAAGAAGAAGAAGAAGAAGAAGAAGAAGAAGAAGAAGAAGAAGAAGAAGAAGAAGAAGAAGAAGAAGAAGAAGAAGAAGAAGAAGAAGAAGAAGAAGAAGAAGAAGAAGAACAAGAAGAAGAACAAGAAGAAGAAGAAGGAGAAGAAGAAGAAGAAGAAGAAGAAGAAGAAGAAGAAGAAGAAGAAGAAGAAGAAGAAAAAGAAGAAGAAGAAGAAGAAGAAAAAGAAGCAGCAGCAGCAAAGGAAGACGATCCTCTTCCAGTTTCACTTTATATAAAAGATCCTCCTCAATGCAGTTTTAACCCAAAACTTTTGGACTGGCAGGCGAGCATCAAGCCACTATACACATTTAAAGTAAAAATGAAATAGTATTGTATTTTTATGAAGTAACTTTTAGTAGCCCGGATGTTTAGACAATACACTATCATCATCAACACCATCGTCATCACTGCACTTCCTCGTCTCCTGTTTCTTCATCTTTTCACCATCCTCCTTCTCCTCTTCTTCTTCTTCCTAATTCTATTCTATATTTTCTCCTCCCATCCTCAGAGATTTCTTTTCCCTATTCAATCCTCCTTTTACCTTGCATTTGACTTACCACAATGACTTGACGGATCAAGATCGGCTATTTGTCAGCAGGGCAAACTATAACTTCTTGAGGCAATAATGAGAATAAGAACAGAACTGCTATTGTCTAACCAATGTTGCAAGGCATTAAGTGCATGCTCCAGTATGTTGTCTACTGAGAAAGTCTATGGTGCTGGTTTCAGTTTAGATGATAGTGATGACCTTGCTCTGGAGCTTGTCTTATGATTTGAGTGTAAATTTGCAGTTGTTGCTTCAACTTGGTATTGGCATTTTCTAACTAGTGTTTGGCAGATTTTCTAAATTTGAATTGGCAACCCTATGTCCTGCATTTACAAAATCCAATCAGTAATTAATGAGACTACAATCACCATAGTATTTGAGACGCACTGAATTATAAAATTTCTAGAGGTATAATCGTTACTCCATTCTTTAAAGCAAATAAGAAAAAGAAGGATGAGGTTTTAATAGGAGGAGGAAAAGAAACGAAGCAGAAGAAAAAAAATGAGGGAAGGAAGAGGATAATAGGAGAAGGAGAAAAGAAGAAGATAAAGATGCAGAACAAGATTTGGGAGAATATCGCCTTAAAAAATCTCCCACTGAAACATTGATTATGAAGAAGTAAACACAGGGAGAGGAAAAAAAAAGAGTAAAAAGACAATACAGTAGGCCAACAGGAAGAATAAGATCAAAGAAGAACAGGAAGAGTTTGTCCAACCTTCATTCTGGATGTCAACAGCGACCTCTTGTGGTAAGACATCAGATATAATGTGTCCATTTTTCAAATCCTCATAATACAGGGTGGAGCCATTTATTGAATGACGCCAAAATGTTCTGGGGAAAAATATCACGAACGAAAATGTCACAAAGCAAAATATCACGAACGAAAATGTCACAACGTAAAATATCACCAGTGAAACATCATCAAAAAATTACGACAGGCAGATGGAGAAACAGCAGGAGAAAATTAATAGTTCTGAGAAGCAACTGATATTTTCTGAGATTGCAGGAAATTGAAAAAGGGCAAATACTTTGCTACATTTCTGCAAGACTTTAATTCACAATCAAGAATGATCAGTGTTATAGGCACGGTTCCCCCTGCCCCCTTTACCCCCAGGAAAAAAGAGGTGCAGAGACTCACCATAATGTGTCTAAAATAAGGTGGCGGTACTCACAACAGAGTATCTATTACAGAAGTACGGAAACAAGTGAGGTCTAAAAAGGTGCAGGTACTCGTGCCATTGAGTACTGTCAGATAAAAGAAGCTGGTTATATGCGACTAAATATGGACAGACAGGAAGACGCATGGTAGGCGGCATGGATGATGAGAAAAAGAGAAAGAAACTCGTTTCTCTAATATATTTCCCCAAGTGCATTGAAAGCCTGATTAAATGTAGAGTCAGTGCAAACATTTGTGCTCAATGCTCATATTTTCAGGGCGCACATGACGCGGGGTGGGGGGGGGGGGGCGGGTGTCTTGAGCCTGAGGATTTAAGGTCGCATGGCTAGTGGTGTGGCCACGAATTATGTAGGCTTTTTTTTCTTAGGCATTCCGAGCCGCAAAGGTTCGTTGCTGTAGATATAACCAGGCTTCATTAGTCTCTCTTTATTTTTGACCTTTATTTTTTCAGTTGGTGACATAAAGTGTTTGTAGGTCTGTCTGTATATTTTCTCTCCATAGTATTCTTGGTTTGTATCTTGATCTGCGACTATACATCTCCCTCGTGTACACAGTGTTTACTTCCCTGTAATTTGACATTATCTCAGTTTACCCCCGCCATTTCAGACTGTTAGCTCTAATAATGACAGTGATCAATGGACCTCATTCTTTTTAGGTGTGTTATAAGTTTCAGAGCCATATAAAACAACTGGTACTTTGTTGGTTAGGATTTTAGTTTCTTCCCGGCAGAAGAAATCTGCATCCCTTATCAGGTATCAAAGTCGAGTCTCTCGATTTGAGAACTACTCGTTCATTAGCTTCTCACAGGTGGTACAGTAGGATCAATGTCGACGGAAAGCGTATACATATTTTTCAACATTCGACAAATAATTTATCTCTTCTCATCGACTTTCATGGAAAATTCAACACCCCCCCCCCCTTCCCCATTCCCCATTCCCAATTCCTAACGCCGTTAGAGCGCTGAACAATACTACTACTAATAATAACAACTGACAAATTGACAATTGAATATCTTCTTCTTTTTCTTCTCTTTCACCAGTTACCTCAGCGAGGTGTTGTGGGGATATTTGAAGACCGTTTGCGCGCATTTACCAATGTATTGCACAAGTTGGTGTTAATTTCTTGCGCTCCATCTCTTTCGTGGTCTTTTCCCTTGCTCTGTGTTCATTATAATGAGTATAACATTAGAAAAAAATAATATGTATAAAGCGATTTCCGAAGATAAAATGAAACTTATATAATAAATCACTCTTGTTGAACATCAGAAAATGAGTATTGAAATGTTATCTCGAGCATGTTCTGTTGTATGGTAATGAATCTTGGAACGTGAGCAAACAAATTATGAAGCGTTTGGAGATAATTGAGATGTGGTTCTTGAGAAGAATGTTGCGAATACCTTGGACTTCTAGAATAACTAACAATGATTGTCTGGCTGGATATGGCTAATGAAAGCAGAACATTAGATACAACAATGAGAATAGACAAAGTTCGTTGGTCATGTGATCAGAAAAGGAGCACTGGAAAATATCATACAGACTGAAAAGATCCCTGTTAGAAGATGCAGAGGCAGACCAAAAGAAATTGTGATGGATGGGTTAAGACAGTGGCATGGAGGAATGTCATCAGTGGAATTGACCCAGAACACCAAAGACCGAGAGATCTGTGAAAATGCATGAGCGCTACGCCAGCTGGCACGAACTTGAAGATAATGATGATTTAGCGATGGATATATGAAATATCCAGGCCGTAAATACCACCATCTACGTAACAAATAAAAAGGCTCGCACCCGATACATCTTCACAACCTGACGCTGAAAGACAACATAATTAGAGGAGGGTGAAAAGGAGGATGAGAAGGAGAAGAAGAAGAAGAAGAAGAAGAAGAAGAAGAAGAAGAAGAAGAAGAAGAAGAAGAAGAAGAAGAAGAAGAAGAAGAAGAAGAAGAAGAAGAAGAAGAAGAAGAAGAAGAAGAAGAAGAAGAAGAAGAAGAAGAAGAAGAAGAAGAAGAAGAAGAAGAAATGTATATAAAAAAAACCATAAAAAAGATAACTTCTGTATATTGTTTGGGCCGGGTCAGCATTGCTGCTTATAAATTAAGGATCTGAGCATCCCTAGAATTGTTCTAGGTGGAAAAGGAAGGGGGGGGGGGATGGTGGAATGAGGTAAATACGACTAAGTCCCCCATGTCATCAGGCTTCAATACCTGCCTATAGTCTTCTGTCTATGTTTATTACCTCTGTTTTTCCACATCGGGAAGTCGGTTCAACATCTGGAGCTCACTGGAAGAGAAGTAATCCAGGGCGTAGTCGTCTGGCATCAGAAAGGTGAAGGACATGTTAGCATTTCCTAACATGTTAACGTCGTGATGAGATACCATCTGCTCCATCAGCTCGAAGGAAGCACTGGCAAAAGAAAAACCAGAAACAGGAAGACATTGTAGTGTATGTAACGTTTGTTGTTTACAGTTTAACTGGTAAGGGTATTAGACTGTTATGCCATTATTTAAAAAAAAAAAAAAGAAAAAATTTTAAAATGCACTACGAAGAACACACAAACGATCCTTATAAGTCCCTCATTATTGTTAAGTGCAGTTCAAAGAACACACAGACAATCCTTACAAGCCTCAATATCGTTACGTGCAATGTTAAGAGCACATACATGATTCACACAAGTTTCTCGATATCGATAAGTGCAATGTAAAGAGCACACAGACAATCCTTACAAGTATCTCAGTATCATTGAGTGCACTGTAAAGAGCACACACACACACTATCCTTACAAGTCCCTCAGTATCATTACATGCACTGTAATGAGCACACAGACGACCCTTTAATATTCCCCTACTTTAGCTGTGATATTATTGTCAACTTTCTGTCTTCCCAAACGTTATTAGCGAAGGGCGTGAGAATTGCCGTCCAAGACAAAGGCGAGTGGGCCTTGAAATACCCGCTCGAGTAAAGAAGACAAGTTATGGTCAGTGATGACTTTCCTCCTCTGCACTGCACGAACACAAATCCATGTGTTGTCGAGGTAACATGATCCCTGCGTTAACTGCAACGGGAAAAATAATATGAATATGTTTGAGACAAAACATGACGCAGGATCATACGAAAGGTCACGTTCTTTTCCTTATCGGTCACTGACGGTAAATTGTGACGAAAAGTTCTTGTCTGTGCTATACCATTATCGAAATTAACACAAAGCGATATGCTGCCAATCAGCCCGCTGCTGCAATCGAACTAGGCATTTCGAAATCCACAGACACCAAAACAATCGACCACTTCGAGTTTTATACATATATATATATATATATATATATATATATATATATATATATATATATATATATATATAGAAATATTTTTTTTTTTTTTTCCAGCATTCCGAGCCCTTGAAGTTCTTTGCTGCAGATATCACCCGCCTCCATTTATCTCTCTGGTTGGCCCTCTCTTTCCAGCTGGTAACACCAAATGTTTGCAGGTCTGTCTGGATATTATCTCCCCATCGTCTTCTTGGTCTGCCACGTGATCTACGACCATAAATCTCCCGGGTGTATACAGTTTTTACTTCTCTGTCATCTGACATTCTTTCAGTATGTCCCAACCATTTAAGTCTATTAGCTCTCATGGTGCCAGTGATCAGTGTTGATTTAAACAGATTATGAATTTCGTTGTTGCTTCTCACTGTCCATTCACCGATGTTTGAAATCTTTGATGGGTCCAAAGATTCGTCGTAAGACAGTTTTCGAAAACCTGTAATAAGGCTTCATCTCTTTTAGTTGTGCTCCAAGTTTCAGAGCCATATAACACTACTTTTCTAATCAACATTTTATATGTTTTGATCTTGGTGTTGCGAGATAGACACTTTGACTTTAGCAGATATTGCAGGGCATAATATACTTTATTTACAGATTGTATTCTAGGTTGTATTTCTTCTCTCAGCATGTTGGAGCAGTTAGAGTTTGTTCCAAAGTACTTATATGTTTTCGTTCGATTTTCATATTATTGACTTGTATGGATTTTATATTATTTCCCTGTCTAGTTATTATCATGTATTCTGTCATATCTTGACTGATAACTAGTCCCATTTTCTGAGCTGATTCTTTTAAGAGAGTCCCTGTTTTAACAGTCTCTAGTTCATTTTCTCCAACGATATCAATGTCATCAGCATATCCAAGTATTCTTGTAGTTTCTTCTATAGTTCACTATTGTTTTAATTTCCTTTCAATTTTCTCCAGGGCTAAGTTGAAAAGAAGTGGGGACAGAGCATCACCTAGCTTTAAACCAGATGTTATATGAAAATGGTCTGACTTTCTGCCTTTATATTTTACTATATTACAAGTGTTTTCCATACATAGTTTGGTCATGCTAATTACCTTTTATTTTTTTTTATTCCAAAGTCCTTCATAGCATTCCATAAACTGTTTATATGCACACTATCATACGCCTTTTCAAAATCCACAAAAACATTATGTATACACCTCTTTCTCTCTCTCTCTCTCTCTCTCTCTCTCTCTCTCTATATATATATATATATATATATATATATATATATATATATATATATATATATATATATATATATATATATATATATATATATATATATATATATATATATAGCCTCTGTTAACACTGTTCTGTGTTCCCTTTTGAAAACATGTCACTGTTTGGGAAATCCAACACAATACTGCCACAGCTTAATCGCCATTAACAAAATTGGTTCATTTTTTTTTTGTCAGGATTAGCTAGCTGCACACATCCAATCACAAATTGCACCTTTGGGGTAAAAGGGAGACAATTTGTATCAGCCCCTTGATATGCGAGGACAATAGCTGTATCTATATATCTCTGCAAAGAACATACAATCGGTAAGACTTGACGTAGGTGCCGTCTTCACAGTGAGAGCTCCTACAATGGATCTCCAATACTTATTCACACACACACACCACACACACACTTTCCTTACACATGCATGCATCCTCTCTCTCTCTCTCTCTCCCCCCCCCCCCCTCTCTCTCTCTCTCTCTCTCTCTCTCTCTCTCGTGATGTGTGTGTATTTTGTCAGATATTGTTTTCCATTTTGATGTTTTCTTTCCATTTGTAGCGATATTTACCATTTGCTCACCTGCTCCGAGTGCCCTCCCCCTCCCTTATATGCGATTATAAGATGCCAGCCCAATGTGACCGTAACATTTATTTCCCTTTTCCAGTCAGATTTAATTTATTAACCCTTCCCAAAGAGTGCACTGCACTCCCAGACATCAGTAAATGACTGCCGTTGTTTCCATGAAACGATTTGTGCCCATCTCCTAAGACTCAGCTTGACTTTCTAATTGCCTGATTATTGCTCAGAGTTGAACAATATAGTTTCGATTCCGATTCCTTTTAAGAAAAAAATTTAAAGGTCGACCACTTTCAGACTGCTGCTAGCTAGCCGAGGCTGCTAACAGTCTCCGCCTATATTTGTGGTCTGGGTTATATGCATCACTTTCGTGACTAAATTCTAGCATTTGCGCCGTTTCTGGGCTTGATGCTTCCTTCCGAATCAGACCGCTTGTCCTCCACCCTGTTGTTAGTTCTGCATGTATTTCCTCTTTTTATTTGGTGTTTCCTCTTTGTTCTCTCTCCCTCTGATTTGGCCAAGCGTATTTCGTAGGAGAGCGAGCTTTTGTACATAACGTCCTTTGGACCACAATTGACAGTTTTAAAATGTTGAGCATTTTATTTTGCCAAAAAGTACTGAAAACAGTTTTTGATTTTGGATGGTTCCGAAATGTGAATATATTTCGCGAGTGTCCATAATGGTCTTATAGTTGTCTTCCTGCAATAAGAACGTGTTAGTCATGTTGTGGATGTGTGTGTGAAATGTTATGTGAAGCCTAAAAGCGGGTCTAATCGTCATTTGTTAGTGTGTGATCCGGCTGTGTCAGTTTGGGTTGACAGCTAGGCTCCTGTGTACGTAAATATTATAAAACCAGAGCACCCAGTTCACGTTTTGAGATCCAAATGTTCGGCGATGAGAATTGCTGTAGCATGTTGGGTATCGAACTCAAGTGCACTCTGTGGAAATGGGAGGGGGCTGGGGGGGGGGGTTGAACTCATAGTGCATCCGAAAGAGGTAGGGAAGGGTGAGGGGAAAAGGGGGGGGGGCGGCCATTCAGTCATTTCTCGTCGTTGCCGTCTTGCTGGATTCTAGCTTGGCCTTTATCTGGGATTATACATATCACAGTCAAAAGCACAGGGGAAAGGGTGGGTGCCGACGGAAAGGGAGACGGGTATTGGAGGGGACAACAATGTTTTAGAAATCATACTTCAAATGTTTTACTTCTGTAGTAAAATATTCCTCCTGTCTTGTTCGTAGATAAAGATTTTGGCCGAACTTGCTCATCTTACCTATGCGTCTTTCTTTTCTAAAAGCTTTTACAATTTAAGTTTGTGTTTATTCTTCAGACCAGACAGACAGCATTCATGCCATTTTCTTAATACCACAAGAAGTGTCCAGCAGTCTGATAACAGATCCAGGTCTGATAACAGGAATGCTGATAAATCTGAGGAACACTCACCTCCTTGCATTGTTTTGAGATAAAAAACAAAGTCATGTTCAGTCAGCATCACCGAAGGGAGAAGTTTTGGTTTTAATTGTAACTTAGGTTATCTGCTATATAGAATGGCTTAACAGTGCTCGCCACCAATTAGCCTGAAAAGTACTCTTGCAAAGTTGATGCGATCAAAGAAGACATACCCAAATACATCCCGATCGACAATGAAGTCGTCCACTGGCCAGCCAATGGGCGACCTGATCGCCGATGTGCCCTTACCTCAAACCTGGTTCTCTCTTGAGTCTCTCTAACACTGTAAAGGGGGAGTAGTTTAGGAAACCATCGATGACGTACACAATGCCGTCAGTACAGCCAAATACTCGACCAATCACATCAAGAGGCAGAATGTCATAGCCAGCTCCAACGTACAAAGCTATGGAGAATAAAGAAATAAAGAAAACACATAGCTTCTCGTCCTTTTTATGATGAAATTTTTCCTTTTTTGAAGCCCTACTCTGGCTCTTACCAGGGGCCGCAATATAGCCTGGCCATAAATATGGCCTACGGGCTGTACGCGGTTTCTGGGACCTCTCCACGGTGATCCTCACCCACATGGTGGCACATTGTGTCATCAGGTGTTTATCGCATGTGTGATGTCTTAGTGGGGTAGAAAGTCAGTCAGTCAGAAAACTCATCGATAGAAAGAGTAGTATTCAGGTAGGAGAGGGCACAGACTAACGAAGGGACGAAAGGAGGGACTATTTCCAAATGGTGACAAACCAGGCACGCAGGCCAGTCTTACATTCAGCCATTTCAAACTCATCTTTGACACTGCAAAGTGTATTTTTATAAATAAAACATGTTATGTTCATATACATTAAATACGTGGTATTAATCTTAAAAAAAAAAATTACAAAATAATGAAAGACAAATGGATGCCTTAAAACACACACACACACACACACACACACACACACACACACACACACACACACATACACACACACGACGCAGATACACAAGCGAGGCAGACGTACAGAGAGAAACACACACACACACACACAAACACACATAAATAGTAGGGTAGGTAAGTGACTAGGTTGTTAGGTAATAAAGTAGGCAAGCAGTCCGTGTGTAATAAAAGTGTTCACAGAGTAAAGGAAACATATAGACAGAAAGACAGATGGATAATGGAGAAGAAAAATAGAAAAGTAATCAGGTAAATAGTATATGAGTGAGCAGATACCTAGATAGGTAGGTAGCTAGGTAGGTAGACTAACAAATATGTAATAAAAATAGAAGAAGGACTATGCGAAGGAGGAGGAAGAAGAAGAAAAAGAGGCTATCAGGGCTTTCCACAGCTCTTTGTCTCCTGTTTTTAAAATCTCACAGTTTATGACATAGGGGATCAAACATCACATACGTCCGCCGTCATTTGTCTCGTACAGTTCCAAACATTTCTGCAGCAGATGACCCTTTATCCTGTCTCTCCCCCTTCCCCTTTCAATTCTCCCTGCCAGTAGTTTTCAGATAAGAAGAACACAGACCTCTTTAAAGTCCGTAGTGCGAAGCATGTCATTCATTGGTCCACACAGCTTGGTTTCACTGGAATACCAACCGACCAAACTTGGGATCTCTCTGCTGCACGTAGAAAGCTGTCTGTAGAACATGTTAAGTGCGCTGTGGTGCCTGTCCAGACGGGCAAAGTTCTGAATGTCCAAACTTGTATCAAGAGCTGACCGTTTAGACCAGTGGCTCTCAACCTTCCTAATGGCGCGACCCTTTAATACAGTTCCCTCATGATGTGGCGACCCCTAAACAATTACATTCCTTCATAACGTCAATGAATATGTGTTTTCCAATGGTCTAAGGCAACCCATGTGAAAGAGTTGTTCGACCCACACACAACAACACACAAAGGGCCGCGAGCCACAAGTCCTGTCAAAGACATGCAACTAATCTCCTCCTAGGAAACTGTCACGAGACGACCTCAGTGGTTCCAGAAGTTAGTACTGGTAATAAGTTCTTCTGGTTCTAAAGAGACATAATTATATTTACTCTGCCCATTACCCTAATATTACTTTAAACCAAATTGATTTAAAATGTTTCCAGTCCTTCTCCGAGACAAAGCCACTGCGCTTTGTTTAAAATAACATAACACTACGTAATACAGCCCGCTGGTTCAGACTAGGGATGTTAGGTTTGATTCTCACGCCAGTGTCAGAATGTTATCTCCTGACCAGACTGTAGAGACTGAGTGGGGCCCTTTTGAACAGGGGAATTGAGTGGACTCTAGACGTTGAGGCGACCAGAGGCTGGAGTTCGCACGTCAGTGTAATTCGCAGGAGAATAGGTGTTTGGCAATTAGGAATGTTTGATCTTGGTCAAGTAGGAAACACAATGGCTTCACTGACCGTCTTTTCACACCGGCTAGTTAGATTCGTTGTAAACTAGATTGGGTCACTTAAGAATGTTTGCTCTAGGGATGTCAGTCCAGAATTGACTGACAGGCCACTTGTTAGCTAATTTGATCTGATAGGTACTTCAGAGGCGTGGCTTAAGTAATCGTCTTGAGGGTTGGGTAGAACCGAGTAAAGGGAGGAGTTGAACCTTTGAGACAGATAAATAGTATACTTCGAGCCTGTGGACAAACAAACACAGGTCGACCTTAAAGGTAAATTTTACGGTCGGATTCTGGTTTGGCGATTGATGGAAGTTCCCAGGTAAAATATTAATTTTAATCTTGTATACATAGGTTAGGGAGTTAAGCTTAGTCTATACTACCTTTTCCTAATTTGTCTGCACATTCTGCTTGAAATAGTTCTTTGTGAGTATTCAGTATCTCAAATTAGGGAACTGCTAAACTATTCCTATTTCTTGTATGTTTGTGTCACATGTTTTTCAGTGTATGTTTCCATGTGTATAAAATAAGATGTGAACCATGACATTTGCTATAATGAAATGTAATTATATTGTTTCCACCATCAACCAAAATATGAGTTTGGACTGGGGGAAATCATACCCATATGTGCAGGGATGCTGCTACGTTTTGAGGGCCCACCATGTGCTCACTTAATGTGTTCACCTGAACAGGGGATTTATAACCCCAGGGGAAGAATGATGGGCGTACAGTATTTACTGTCACTGAAAGATAATATTCAGGACAGCATGCACATATAAAATGGTTGGAGTTTCAGCACATAACCTGCCCCACGTGTTGATGTAAAAACAATGATTGGAAGTCTGAGTGAAGACGGACAACAGACTTAAAAAGTCAACTATCATGACATAGCTTGTGAGGGAAGGCAGGATATGTGACGTCCATGTAAGACAAAAGACCTTCAGACTAGACTGGAGAGCATGTTGAAAATGAGGAGGAGTGATGGGATATATTATATTATTATATGTTATATTAATTGATACATGTATTCTTAGTATAAGTCAAGATACTACACGTATGTGTTTTGTTTCCATGATTACAGCGCTCATGTGACGATCAGTCCATGAAACAGGCAGAAAACAGGCAAGGAAGAGTTGGACAGTTCCTCACGGCTGTCAGAGGCTTATAAGCTAAGTTAAGATATTGTGACTTAACATATCAACATCATCACACCACTCTAAACCCCGGAGCTGTTTTCTCGCTGAAGCTTATCACTATCATTATTATATCATTAACCAGTCACTGTTTGTGTAAACACAACAAACTGGTAATTTCATTGTAGTAAATAAAGCTGTATGTCAAGTTTTAAACTACATCGTTTGTTAAATTCCAAGTGTATTCAGTCTTACCTGTTTACTAAACTGATAGATAGAATTACATATGGTGGGACTCTATTAATACGATAATAATTCTTTAATTATTCATAATAACACCGGGAGAAGGTAGATGACGGATGAATCATTTGCCTGTCTAATAATTCATTTAGTATAATGATAGACATCTAAAATTCCTTTCCTTCTCTTGTGGGTACCAAGTTCAGCTAATGTTAATGTACTTAACGAGCCAATATGGCTGTTTTCTTGGGTATCCAGGACTTTGTCTGAGAGCAACATAGCTCAGATTTTAGTTCGGTTAATCTGGTGGAGGGAATGTGTTGAGAGGAAAATCCCTACTCAACATTATAAACATTTTATCCACCGCGTCACGTCACAGAAACCCCTAGCCTTGAATGATACCACGTGAAGTCATGGGAAGGACAGGCGTCCGGTGTGATGTCGACCACATCGCCCTCCCTAGGTCTTCTTCTTCTTCTTCTTCTTCTTCTTCTTCTTCTTTGATCCTTCTGTCAGAAAATGTATATCAGGAGGCCGGTAGCCTTTTTGAAAGCTATCGTGCAGTCCATATCCTCTTGTGTACCATACAGTTTTGTCTTTAGTGTTGTTGGAACAGGTCAGATTGCGTCTCTGTTGTCAGCATACAGTTGACAGTGTTGGAGCACATGCTCAGCTTTTTCAGGTGCCACGCTGCAGGGACACGTCTCCATATTTCCTACACCGACAAATTTGAACATATGTTGACGAAATTTGTTGTGCCCAGTCCTTAGTCTGAATATAATACACTGTCCCTCTCTAGAGAGGCGATGAAGTGAGTCTTGGGAAGAAAATCTGGTATGAGTATCCAGTCACCTTTCTTGGATACTAGATTGTAAAAATATTTTCATCTCTTGGTGGGTTGAGTCGCTATTTGGTTGTACCATGTCACTGCCGCTTCTGGCCAATCTGTCCTCCATTTCATTTGCCTTCCAAGCCACAGTGACCTGGAATCCGCTGCAGTACAGATTGTTCTACCTTAGGCGATATTTGGTCTATAAAAATCTGACTCGATCCCCAAATGCACGATGCGCGACTGGCGCGTAAAAAGACCCATGCTATACTTTTATGCAAGGAAAACAATGTCCTACTTACTGTCTTCCTTTCTGCTGATTTTAAATGTAACGTTGTATGAACTACGTGAGCAATAGTCCTCGTCTGGATACTGGCGTAAGAATACATCATCGAGTCGTACGTCCGGCAAGACGTGGCCATAGAACAACTGTCGACAAAACATGACAATAAATCACATCAGTGTTAGTGGGTAAGTGTACCAGAGGTCCTAGAAATGGTCGAGCCGTACGTCCGACAAGACGTGTCCATAGAACTGGGCCCCTACCCACATATGAACGTTATTTGTTAAGCCGTTATGGCCCCTACAACATAATTAAGGTTCTGACTGACAAACCATACACCCCTCCCCCACCCCGTCCACCATAATACTTTGTTTGTGTTCGCACTCCTGGGGTTTACAGTCATAAGAAATGATATGTGGGGGAGGGAAAGTATTTACAGAAAAATAAATAGCAGAAGTATAAATCAGAGAAAACCAGAGACTACAGCAGCAATAGAAGAAATAGACTATAGAACAAATGAAAACCAACAGATAAATAATCAGTTCAGTATCATTTTATGATTGTACAACAGAGAGAAATAATATTAAGGGTATTGACTGGTACCTATGGCAAACAAAGGGCAGGTGTATAAATCAGAAACAATGTCATCAGAGATTTAACAAGAATGAAAGAATAATATGTTTAGATCACTCATATTTAATGGCATAATGAGGGTTAATAGTGGTGGTGCTGATAGAAAGAATGTATGACAACAGGAAAGAAAAACTGCATACAAAAACGAAATGAATGGGAGTAAGCCTAGAGGCAGACCATTAGGACGTAGAAAGATAACAAAGAAGCAGATCTATTTTTTTTTTAACGTATCCAGAAACCATGAGTTGTAAACCCTTTGGCTCGGTACTATGGATATCGCAACCCTTCGGCATTGATTCCATTATAGGTACCGTTAATCTGGGAGAAATGTGGCTTTTCTGCCTACCCCCGGGAGTGAACCCAGACCACAAGGAGTTCGTCACCCTGCCGCCGCGAAAGTCAGGTTTAACCAACTTCGCTAGAGAGCCGGGCTTAAGCAGATCTATAAAAGTTTGGAGTCATCAACTGCAAAGAGAAAGACAACCGGAGAGAACAGAAATAAGCTATTTACCAACCGTTAATCAACGATATGAAAATGAGTTTGCGTTACCAAATAACATCACCCACAGAGTGCCGATTGGTCTGTAAAACATAATTCAAACCATACATGCCCAAAATGCCAGAATCTTTGCAAAATGGTCCGTTAAAACCCATATTTGTTTCAATATACGTTTACAATAGCACGAAATAATATCAGTGAAACTGACGGAGACTTTATAAAGTCAACGATGACGACATTTTTAGAAATGTCATATCAAATTAGCATGTGTTACTCATTTTGATTTGTGTTATGAAGGTCGCGGGTTCGTTGTCTGAATGAGTTTTTCGGGTCAGGAATGTACCCTCCCCCATCTCCCCCTCCCCACCCCCCCCCCCAAAAAAAAGAAGAAAATTAGTGGCGTTATCCCATGAGCTATGGATTTGTCGCTGTGCGAAGCTTCCTTGAAATGGCTAGAAGCTCTGCGTAGAAAGACCCAGCAATATAAAAAAGACACCCTACTGGTGCAATAAAGTGAATCTCTTCTGTGGTTTTAAATGTGTATCTTCTTGTTGAAACTGACAAACAGAATAGCATCACAAGTGATCTCCGTCGCTGCGTGCCCGCTGCTATTCTGTCTCTGGCATATCTTGCCAATTTTCATTTCTCCATGTCCATTTATACTGTCCTTCTCTGGATTTCTCCAGTTGGTCCATATCTCCTTATTCCAAATGCCGTCCATCGGAGAGTTGGCCTTGCCAAAGTATTACGAGGCATTCTTCAAACACTTTCATGCCATCTCCATTTTGGTCATCGTAGGACACGTTTGCTCTGTTTAAATACCTGTAAGAAAATGCAGGCAGCAGACAGGCTTGAATGTTGATACTAGTAAGTAGCAAACATGATGACGGTGATATTAAAAGAAATACCAGATCAATGAATTAATTACAAAAATCAGTTGCGTATCGGTTGACATGACGCTGCAGAACAACCACTGTATTATTTTTCTGTGTTTGATTTGTATCGTCAATAGGCAATTTCCCTGTCAGTAGTTTGCCATTGCTTCTGAACAGGCGGCGCTCCATACCACTGTCGAAATCAACGCAATGAGGTTTGTTGCTAAACCGCCTGCACCTGAATCGAAACTGAGTATAGCGGAATTAAAAAAAAAGCCTTAGCAGCGCATGGGAGTCGCCGTGGCGGAGCGGCTAGACGCTCGCCTACGGATCGGAAGGTCGTGGGCTCGCTCCTTGGCGAAGCCGGTCTTTTTTCGAAGATCACATTGGCTCCCAGGTCCATCCAGCTTTGACTGGGTCACCCGGGTGCAGTTCCGGGAAGTAAAGGCGGCTGGTGTGATGCTGACCACATCACCCATCTTGTGCCGATTGGTATATAAAATATAGGTCTAGCCCTATATGCCCTATACGCCCGAAGGCGTGGAAAAGGGTCCTTTACTTACTTTACCTTCTAGCAACGCGTAAGCCACTGAGAGTTTCTCAGTACAGAGCTTTGATATTACCATTGCTCCCCTACCTTTCTCAGAATGTCCAGATTCTGCTTGATCCTGGCCAGTTGTTGGGTGGTCAAGGTGTTGATGTAGCGGGAGGACGGGACAAACAACGTCACATTCCTTGGTGATGACGTCACCAGCTCTTTGTACTCAGGTAGTGTACTTAACATGTGGTGAAAGAGTCTGTATGAAAAACAAAACGATTCGTGTATTATTTGTCGGGTCTGCTTCTTTTGTTTACCTCTTCCGGAATGGATAATCTATGTAAATTTGATTAGTTTTTAATATTAATAATAATTTTTAATAATAGTTAGTTCTAAAAAAGCGTCATTAGGAATGAAAAAGTGACAATAAGATTAATAATAATATAATAATAATAATAATAATAATAATAATAATTATTATAATAATAAAAAGATGAAGAAGAAGAAAAGTAGAAGGAAGATGAGTTGGAAGATGGGAAGAAGGAGGAAAAAGAGGAGGAGGAAAGGGAAGAAGAAGAAGAAGAAGAAGAAGAAGAAGAAGAAGAAGAAGAAGAAGAAAAAGAAGAAGAAGACGTAGAAGAAGAAGAAGAAGAAGAAGAAGAAGAAGAAGAAGAAGAAGAAGAAGAAGAAGAAGAAGAAGAAGAAGTAGAAAAAGAAAAGAAAAGAAGAAAAAGAAGACAGTATTCAGTACTCACCATCAAAGTTAAGCAAATACTTTGTAAAATGCCATTCTCATAAAACTGATTTTCATTTAGTTTTCTTGCCTTAACAGTTTTATGAGCAGGGTGTCTTAAATTTTCTGTGACCACTGCCGTAATGGTTAATCTTACATGAACTAGTTTTCTACTATTGTTCATTATATATCCGTATAACGTTTGACATGGTCAAAGTATTTCTACAAAGTAATGTTGACTAATATAGAATCAATGGCAATGCGTACATGCTACCGCTGTAATGGCCGCTTACACTGGCATATGGGAAAAGCACCCATATTTTTTAGACCAATCGGCACTAGCTGAGTAATGTGGTCTTTACTTTTCCAGGACATACATCCTGGTACCCATTGTAGGCTGGGTCGACCTGCGACGCCCCATACCATGATAAAAATCCACTCAGCCAGTAGTGGGTTTCGATCGCAGTACGTTGGAATTACGAGTCGGACTCGCCACGCCCATGCCACGTACGCCGCTGTTTATTGTATATTACAATCACTCGGTTTACGTCTCGGCGTGCACATCAAACTCGCTGGCGAAAAAAAACCGCTAACTACGTACGTATGCCACTCATAAGGTCACATGTAAAAGCTACCAGTTATCAGTATTTCGATACTATCTTCGCACGAATTCTCTCAACAGTCAGCTGACGAGAAGGAAAATATCACGTGATACCCACTCCAGTGTAATTGTTACCTATAACCGCTTACACATGCGAACTGATTACAGCTCGTCCCAGCTGAGATGTTCCGAAAGAGGCGAGGGTTCGATTACAACGTATCACGGATATTAGATAGACAATCGTTATGTTTTAGCCATGTAATGAAAAGGGTAGAGTTGGAATATATTGTGACCACTGTAAGACTTCAAGAAACTGACATAGATTCAGATGAAGATAAAGGCGAAAAGATCCATGACAGTTTTTGTCATGCACGATACCCATGCCAGTCGGGAAGGCATTTCCCGATGATGATGATGATGATGATGTTGATGATTATGATGTTGATGATGTTGATGATGATGATGATGATGATGATGATGATAATGATGATGAATAGTAACTAGGGAAAAGAATAAAGACAAAAGACAGAGAAAAAGCTTCCTATTAGAAAATAAGGAGAATATTAAAAATAGCACCACAGAATTTGATGCATAGGAGGCCAGATTTTTTCAGCAAGCTCTAGCTAGAAATATAAATTAAGAGAAAACACTAGGTTAATACAGGATTTTACAAGGGCAGACGTGGTTAGTGCCTTGTTGGAGAGCGTGTACAATGCGGAGGAGCAGATGGATCACCACAGTCTGGTGAGATTGATGCAGTTGGGGGTGACGAGAGGTTCTGGCAGAAGCTCAAGGCTCAGAGGAAAGGCAAGACGGACGTTTAATCAGAAAGCTACTGGCACCATTAGTTTCGAAACTCTTCTGCTGGCTGCTGAAAATGTGGACGGAGCGCTTATGGGAATGCCCCGAGTGCTGTGATGTCGATTCTTGAATCAAATCAAATCAAATCAAACAAGAAGTCCAGTAACACAGGAAGCGTTACAGAAACAGATAACAGTTAACGGCTTCGATAACACACAAGCACATAAGGGAATAACAGTTAATTAATAGTTAGCCTAACCTTTACAGGTCGTTGCAGAACCATCTGTTGGGTGTTGCGGTTTTTTTTTTCCTAGGCAAATATTACGTTCAGTAGTTTGCCATTGTTTCTGAACTGTCAGCTCTCGGTACCACTGTCGAAACCAACGCAAGACAAACCGTTCCTAGCTGGGATCGGACTCGGCACCCCCGCATTACAGACCTCGTTCGCAACCCCTAAGCCACAAACGCCGACAAATAAGTGAAGCAACGGAAAACAATCATGTGACTATTTTAGAGTTCTTAAAGCTTTCATATATTCATCGGTTATAATTAAGACATGTTCACATGCAAGGTACTCACGAGACCTCCTCCTTTGTACTGAGAATTTGGGAAACACTTTCATAAGGGACAGTCAGCACACGGTCGATGACATGTATCCAGCCGTTGACTGCCGGGATGTTGGCCTTTACAACTTCAGCCATCACGTTGTTGCTAGAAACCATAACTGTTGGGGATAAAAGATACCATCTACAAGTTCTGGGTGCGAATCATATGAATATGCACAGTTAGTTTGGTCTGTTATGCTAAACTGTGTTGAAACACTAATTAAAAAAAAAAAAAAAATCTTTTGCTGAACTGGACTTCAAGTTTCACTATGCTGACGTATCCGTTGGAGATGCTTCAGTTATAATTTATTTGGTGGGTAAACATGGTATTTGCGAATTTACCCTGTTGATCTGCCACCCAAAATGTAATTCTGTAAAATAATCTTCAGCAGACAAAAGGATCCAGTAGTAAACGCAACAGCCCGAGCTGTTACTTCTTGGTTGGCATCCAATATCCCTAAGGTTATTATACGCCGAGCCGACGTTTGAAGGGACTAACCATGAAAGAAAAAAATATGAAGATACTGCAAACAAAAACGAACCACTTCTTCTTCTTCTTCACTTCCTCTTTTACCGCTGTGGGTGTCGAGGGAGATATAAGGTTCTGTTTCTAGCTCTTCTGGCTGCCTCGACCATAGGCACATCGTGCTGTTGTAGAGTTTCTCTGATGTTATCCTTCCATCTTGTTCTTGCTCTACCCCGTGCTCTACGTCCTTCTTCTCTTTCCATGTATGCTTTGTATGGTATGGTGTCACAAGGCCTTCTCTCTAAGTAAGCAAACCATTTCACTTGCTGTCTTTGTAAGAACCACTAGCAAAATAAAATTTAAAAAAAAAACAACAACACAAAAACTGTCGATTCCGGTTGGCTTATCGTCTTATAAACCTCTCATGATCATTTGGATACCAGTTCAACGTTTGTCATCAACGTTGCCATCTTGACAGGAAAGTGACAGATGCTAAATCAGTACTTGAAGCACTCCAGTCTAGGAAACTACCAGAATTGCAAACACTGCTGATACAACTCAGCCTTCAGCGAAGAGTAGTAATGCAGTGGATACCATCTCATTGTGGAGTGCCTGGAAATGAGAAAGCTGATCAACTGGCAAGGGAAGGTGCGACAAAATAGCAGCCGGATGTACCAGTCACATACCACACACACACACACAAAAAGAATTATTAAATCGATCAGGAAACCGCCAGCCCCAGCACAAGTAGTTTGCCATTGTTTCTGAACTTTCAGCTCTCGGTACCACTGTCGAAACCAACGCAAGACAAACAGTCCCCAGCTGGGATCGAACCCGGCACCCCCGCATTACAGACCTCGTTCGCAACCCCTAAGCCACAAACGCCGACAAATAAGTGAAGCAACGAAAAACAATCAAGTGACTACTTTAGTGACCTAGAGTTCTTAAAGCTTTCATATATTCATCGGAAATGACTATTTTATTATGGACAGACCAGAACAAGTCATTATCCTCTGCCTCATAACAGGGCACAACCGATTACGTAATCACATGTACACAAAATTCAAGATAGGCGTATCAGCCATATGCACCTGTGGAAATGTGCCCCAGACAGCAAAGCATGTGCTCCAGGAATGCACCGAATTTGACACATTAAGGCAAACTTTTGGCCAGAAACAACAGTGGAACGTAAACTCTATGGACCACTGAATGAACTAACAACGACAGTGAAATTTATACAAGAGGAAAAAACTGCTGATATAGACAACTTATTTCAGGCGAACGAAAGAAGAAGAAGAAGACAGGACAGTCTAGTGACTTCTTCTTAGATTTCGCAGACTGTAAACTCCAGCAGAAAGTTCATGTTGTTCATCATCTTCTGGGTTTTTGTCTTGTTGCAGAGCTTGACTTTCTCACACAGTTCCATTTTACAGACCTGACATATTTGTATGCAGACTGTTGGTTCATCGCCTCTCAGGTAAATACACTCCTGACTTCAAAGGAAACACTCATAATTTATCGCCATTTATGACATGCTTTTTTTGGTTGTGTGGGGGGGGGGGGGGGGGCGGCAGTGGCTCAATTCTTTACTTTGTGACCCACACAGGGAAGAAACATATATATATTTTACTTACTCTTTTTATCTTTCTTGAGCACGTAGATGACATTATTAATAGCAGGCAGCGCACTGCCTGATGATATTTCATCCAAGGTTCGAGTCTCGCCTTTTACAATATGAGCTCTCATTACCTGGTAAAAGATAAAAATATATTTCTAGTAAGTCGCTAATTTTTTTTCTTCTCTCTCTCTCTCTCGCCTTTCTTAAATAAGATGGTGATTGTTTCGTTCTTATTCTTTCTCTCTCTCTCTCTCTCTTCGTTATCCCTGAATTTTTCTTCTATCTGCTTTTATCGTTTCCTGGCCCGGCTCGCTATCGTAGTTGGCGAAACCGGATTGCGCGGTGACCGGGTGACGAAATCCTTGTGGTCCGGGTTCACGCCCGGGGGTTGGCAGAAAAGCCACATTTCTCCCAGATTTACGGTATTTATCATGGAATCAAGGCCGAAGGGTTGTGATAGCCATAATACCGAGCCTAAGGGTTAACAACTCATGGCTTCTGGATACTAAAAAAAAAAAATAATCGTTTCCTGATTCCCCAACACACCTTTTTCTTCATTTTCCTCGACCAATTCCCCCCCACGTTTCCTCCCCCCCAAACAACCCGCCCCCCCCCCCACCCCCCCCCCCCAACTCCCAGGTTCAACCTCCTCTTCATTTTTAAGGACTTCTTCATTCTCCTAAACCTCTTCGTTGTTTCTGAGGCCTTTATTCTTTATTCTCTATTCTTCTTTGTCGTTGTCATCGTCTTTTCATCTCTTTGCCCATAAACACAAGAACATCATAAACAGCAGCAGCAACAACAGCAACAACACTCTACCACTACTGCTGCCGATGCCACTGTTACAACAGCTACTGCTACTACTACCACTGTTACTACTAATACTACTACAGCTTCTACTTCTGCTGCTGCTAATACTACTACAACTTCTACTGCTGCTAATACTACTACAACTTCTACTGCTGCTGCTGCTAATACTACTACAACTTCTACTGCTGCTAATACTACTACAACTTCTACTGCTGCTGCTGCTAATACTACTACAACTTCTACTGCTGCAGCTGCTACTGCAACAACTATTATGACTACTACAAATCAGAAAATATAATAAACAGAGACCAGTGTGACTAACTGCACTAGGTGACATCAGCTTTAGTAATTACATTTTTTGAGAAAACCTATTGGAGGTTAATTAATCAGTTTCACGCAGTGATTCAACGCGGCCTAATCAGGCTACTAACCGATCAACTTGCCTTTTCACTGTAGTTCCGGTTGAACAATTTTTCATGTGTCTGCCATGGGAGGTAACTGAAGGAGTCATTGTTGGGCACAAAGAAGGTGTAGTTCTCGTTGACTGAGTCCAAGTCGTAGCTGTCATCGTTCATCACGTTGATGAGGACGTTGGAGTACCTGTGGCAGGTGGTAAGGTATTTGTGTGAGAAGGCAAATAATCGTACAGGGTAACAGGACACACACACACACACACACACAAAGCTAGAGACAGGTGTGATTTGACAAATATTAGAAGTACATGTATGATTTAAAAAATAGTAGCATTGTATGTGGGGTAGGAAAAATAATAAACTTACAGGTGTGAAAAAAAAAAAGAAATAACATTACAAGTATATTGAGACAAATTGCAACAATGCAGTTGTGATAGAAGGAATGGTAACAATACATATGTAATACCATAAATTGTCGTTCTACGCGTGTGATGAAACACATTAAATATTATTCAGATGTAACAAGACAAATTGAGATAACTGCGAAATTTAATGGAAAATGGAAGTAGCAGCAGCTCTGGATTTCATTACAAGGCAACAGGTGAAATGGTTTGGCCATACAACGCATATGTCAGAGACAGTATACCACAGCAAGCAATGATATACAGACCAGGCGGAAAGCAAAGAAGAGGTCAATCATGCAAGTGATGGACAGATGGAATTATAGAGTCAATGGAAATCCCAGTTTACGAAATACACAAACGGGAACTTTCCAGTAAATTATACTTCATCTCGGCACCGCAAGGTACCGGAGGATCAAGATGAGATCAGATGATATGAAATAAGATGAAAACATGACAATTATTAACAATTCATGTATGATAGTAGTAATAATAATAATAGTGCAGTGGAAAGAAATCTGCGAACACGAAAAGAAGAACTGTTCAGCTACCCACCCACCCACACACACACCCACCTACCAACCCAAAACCCACCCACCCACACACGCACCCACCCAAACCCACCCACCCACACACACACACCCAAAACCCACCTACACACACGCACACACCACACACACACACATTCTCTCTCTCTCTCTCTCTCTCTCTCTCTCTCTCTCGCTCTCTTTCTCTCTCGCCGAAACAATCAGTCACCAGTGGAAAATTAAACGTAGCAGCTAGAGTTAATTCGTCAACCATAAAACCCTCGCTATTAGCATAAATGAATAGTAAGCTCGACATCAAGGCAAAGAAACACAAAGACGTGCACAGAAACAAACAAAAAAATCGAATCTTTCGACCAACGTCTTTATCAATGAGCACCACAACAAGAACAAGAATCCTAGACAACAGAGTGAATTAAATGTTATATACCAGAACGGCTGCAGTCACTCCTGTTTTTTTTTTTTTTTTTCATTACCTTTGCACTAAACAGTAGCTGCATACAAGTCATGAGAGAACAAAAATTATAAGGTAAGAGTCGCAGGAGAAGTGATAACTGTTTACATATCATTAAGGGAGACGCCTCGGTGTAGCGGCAAGGTGCTCGCCTCTGACATTTTAAACAAATGCCCGTGGCTCCCATGTGGACCTAGCCTTAAATGGGCACTATGTAAAGTCTTGGGAAGTAAATACAGCCAGCGTGATACACAGACTAAGTCGCCCGCGTGTGTCGATTGGTCTAAAAATATATTACTAGCAATATCTGTCCAATAGACCTGAAGGCGTCGAAAGAGTCATTGTGTAACAGAAAAAATAGGAAGAGACACGTCATAAAACAAATAATAGCAAGAGTAACGAGAACAGGTTAATAGCTAGAAACAGAACCTTATATCTCCCTCGACACCCACAGCGGTAAAAGAGGAAGTGAAGAAGAAGAAGAACGAGAACAGGTTTAGGTTTAGACGACGGATCAACATCATTGCACAAGGGTAGCAACCCACAAGTGCTCCGTTCCACGTTTGACTCAAGCCTGAATCCGAAGAATGTCAGCAAAGTGCACGAACTCCATAGCACCGGCGAGAATCCTGAAATACTTCGGGTAGATTTTTGACACTAATTTTAACCCTGGCAGCGCCGTTGGGCTACTCTTTTTCGATTTCTAACTGCCAAGAGATTTTTTTACGCGCGCAGTATTACACACGGGCGTCAGATCTTGCTACACAGAAACAAGGTGAAATTGCAGCCCCAGAGCAACTACACACTGCCACAGAGACAACAATAGAAGTAGGCTGGCGATAGGCCAAGCAATAAAAATGTAAGTGTCATAGAATGGAGGACGTCAATAAAAGTGATGTAATAGAAACAATGATAATATATATAGGTGTTACAGAGAAATTACAGTTTTCTAACAAAAATATCGATGGAATAGAAAACAACGATTACGCTTGCACCATATCTTTGTCTTCTTCTTGAGGATTCCGAGCCTCTGCAGACATCACCCGCCACCATTCATGTCTGTGACTGGCCTTTCTTTCCAGTTAGTGACTCCAGAAGTTTGCAGGTCTGCATGTGCAGTATCTCTCCATCAACTTCTTGGTACGCCTCATGGTCTATTTCCATTTAACTGCTTCGTGAGAGCGGCTTTGTTCCTCTGTTATCCACCATTCCCTCTTCATGCCCTAAACTTTGGATATTTTCTCCTGGCCATGCCGGCGTGGTGGGTAATGAACAGGCAGACAGATTGGCTTGATCTGTACCACTGGGTGGTGAACTGATATATGACAAGGCAGATGAGACCAAAGCTCTTTGGGAACAAGCAACAAAATTAGTAGTGACAGATTATTATGGCCTGGAGAGAATGAGGCATCTAGGTGTAACCAGAGGGTTTGGCCGGCTCACTTCACTCAGAGGAAAGGCAAGACGGAATTTAACCATATTCTGACCGGTACCATCAGTATTGGAACTCTGCGCTGGGTGCTGAATATGAGGACGGGACAAGCCTGGGAATGCCCCGAGTGCTGTGATGTCAATTCTTGACTCAACTCAACCCAACTCAACTCAACTCTACATGCCCCAGACTACTGCAGTCCATAAGCCTTTTTGCTGTCAGTAATTAGAGGTAACATATTATAAATCGTATATATTTTTTAATTTATAACATAAAAAATAATTACAAAATACGGGAAATCTAACGAAAATAACACTACAGGTTTGACGAAGTAAATAAAAGTGCGATTGTAATACAACAGCTAACATCAGCACCAGTGTTTTGAAAAAAATAGTAACAACACTGACGAGCAGTGTCTAAAATAACATTGCAGCTTTGACAGAGCAAACACTTGCAATAAGGTCGTGATCGAGAAAATCATAAATTGTATCAGACTAAGGGAACCGCCTTTGTGTAGCACACTCTAATCATGGTCGAATGTTGTAGGTTCAAATCCGCAGTGAGCGAAAATAAAATAAAAATAAAAAAACTTCGTCTCCTAGGTCGACCCAGCCTAAAATAGGCACCAGGTAAAGTCCTGGCAAGTAAGGGCGGCCGGTGTTTTATTAACGACATCACCAAGAGAGTGCCAAATGATCATAAAATATCGGTCTAGCACATTATGACCAATACACATAATGACAAGGAAGAAGGAACTTTTACCAGGCAATAACGGTTACACTAAAGCTTACAAGGCATACTGTTTTCTTTGCTGTTGCTTCACATTCTTTCTGGCAAACATCGGTTATTATGGCTATTTAGGTACTATGCTACTTCACGATAACACTTGCTGTTAAAGGTTTGGATTACTCCACGCTAAAATGTTGAATGTCTATTCTAATTAAAAAGAATTCTGGGTACTATGAATCGATGTTATTTAACGCGAATTCAACTTACTATATGTACATGTATATGGTACTTTACAAAAACAGTGACTAGTATATAAATCTATGTTACTTAACAAGAATTCTAGCTTCTATAGGACTATACTAAATAAGAATTCTATTACACAAGATGTGTTAATTTGATTTTTGCTGCTAGATGCTCGCCTGCGGATCGGAAAATCGTGGGTTCAGACCCAAAATAACCTTTGCTCCCAGGTCCACACAGCCTTGAGTAGGTACTAGCTGCAGTCATGAGAAGTACAGGCAGCTGGGTAAAATTCCCCATATCACGCACCAAGTGCCGATTGGTTTATAAAATATTGATCTAGCCCTGTATGCCCAATACGCTTGAAGGCGAGGAAGAGAGTCTTTTACATTAAATTAAAAAAACTATGTGTCTGTGTTTTATCACGATTATTCTGTCTATTAAAACCGACACTACATAACAAGTATTCTGGCTACTAAAACCGACACTACAAAAAAAAGTATTCTATCTACTAAACCCGACACTACATAACAAGTATTCTGGCTACTAAAACAGGCACTACATAACAAGTATTCTGGCTACTAAAACAGGCACTACATGTATTCTGGCTACTAAAAAACAAACTACATAACAAGTATTCTGACTACTAAACCCAGACTAAATAACAAGTATTCTGGCTACTAAACCCAAACTACATAACAAGTATTCTGGCTACTAAACCCAAACTACATAACAAGTATTCTGGCCACTAACCCAAACTACATAACAAGTATTCTGGCTACTAAAACCCAAACTACACAAAAAGTATTCTGACTACTAAACCCAGACTACATAACAAGTATTCTGGCTACTAAACATAAACTACATAACAAGTATTCTGGCTACCAAACCCAAACTACATAACAAGTATTCTGGCCACTAAACCCAAACTACATTATAAGCATTCTGGCTACAAAAACCGACACTACATAACAAGTATTTTGGCCACTAAATCCGACACTACATAGCAAGTATTCTGGCTACTAAACCCAGACTAAATAACAAGTATTTTGGCTACCATACTCAAACTACATTAACAAGTATTCTGGCTACTAAACCCAAACTACATAACAAGTATTCTGGCCACTAAACCCAAACTACATAACAAGGATTCTGGCTTCTAAAACCGACACTACATAAAAAGTATTCTGGCTACTAACACCACAATAAATAACAATTATTCTGGCTACTAAAACCACACTACATAACAAGTATTCTGGTTACTAAAACAGACTCTAAATGACAAGTATTCTGACTACTAAAACCGACACTAAATAACAAGCATTCTTACATTTAAAACCGACACTACATAACTATTCTGGCTACTAAACTCGACAATACATAACAAGTATTTTGGCTACTAAACCCGACACTACATAACAAGTATTTTGGCTACTAAAACCAGACTACATAACAAGTATTCTGGCTACTAAACCCAAACTATATAACAAGTATTCTGGCTACTAAACTTAAACTAAATACATAACAAGTATTCTGGCTATTAAAACCGACACTACATAACAAGTATTCAGGCTACTAAGCCAACACTACATAAGAAGTATTCTGGCTACTAAAACCGACACTACGTAACAAGTATTCTGGCTAATACTGGCCAAAACTACTTATTAGAATTTTAGCTATTTAAGGCCTATGCTATTTCTCGAGAATTCTGGCTACGAAGGGTCCATGGTATTTAAAGAACTTTACTAAACGCCTGTGGTACTTACGCCACTTCATTTCTAAAGGCCACATCCTTGGCAATGGTTTGTGTTGGTGTATGCAGCAGCTTGTCGATGATGTGAATGACTCCGTTGTTGCAGTAGATGTCTTGAAGATGGACGGTGGCTGTCACGTGGCCACCAACCACTGTCATGACTAGGAAACAGATACACAACGGGACACAATAAAGAAATATATATGTATCGTTATTAACTCTTTTCCCAGTCAAAGCAGAAACTCCAATTCAGCACAATACTTACAGCCGGGATGCCGGGTTCGATCCCAGCTGCGGGCCACGCGCCTTGCGTTGGTTTCGACAGTGGTATCAAGAAAGCCGATTGTCCAGAAAGCAATGGCAAACTACTGGACGTAAATTTGCCTAGAAAAACCACACAACTGCCAGGGGATGTTGGGGTTGGTTCTGCAACGTCCTGTAAAGGATACGCAACTAACCTATTTAAGAATCGACATTATACACTGATGCTGCGTCCCCTACAAAAATATCTTAAGTTGTAGATGCTAACTGAACTCACAGTACACTGATTATACATGTGTCACCCTATCTATCACAAATGACCTTGGCTCCCAAGTTTACCTAGTATTAAATTGGTTAAAAAGTATTAAATCCCGGAAAGTACAGGCGGTCATCACGATTTTGAACAAACTGGTGCGAGTGCCGATTGGCTTTACAAAAAAAATATTTTTTGCTTCAAATGTCGTGAAAAAGGCTTACTTATTCACTCACATCGTTGTAATCTTTTTTAACCACAGTTACACCCAACATGGCAAAATGAACTAAATCCGCATCGCTTCACTACACATTTAATCATCATCACTCCTTTGAAGTCAGATTTCATCTGCCAGTGAGGCGAGACAAGAATCGTCCTCTAGCAAATAAACTAGATCAGTGATACAGACTTGCATGCAAAACCCAAGATATTGGGAAAAAACAGACTAAATTCCAAAAGTGGATGACAAACCAGAAATTACTGCCGGCCTTTACAGCCAGTGAATGTGACGAAAAAGAAGATCACCAACATCATCATCATCATGTAATGGGTCCTTTGCAGAGTGTCGGTATGATTACGGAACACTGGAAAACATCCGATCCTATGTCAGCTGCGCAACTTTGTGAACTTTCTACCTAGGACGTCCTTCAGATCCTGTATCCACCGTCGTGCTAGTCCACCCCTTCCTCTTCTTTCATTTAATAGTTCCCTGTGTGGGTTCCGATACCCCATTGCGGGGGAAAACAAGAATAGACACAATACCTACCCAAAAGCAGATCATAAGAGTCGACTAATTAGGAGCTTCTTTCGAAGTCGGAGTACATCTGCCTGAGAGGCAAGGAGCCCACAGTCTGTATGCAAATGAGTCAGACCAGTAAAACGGATGTGCACGCAACACTCAGTTTCTGGAATAGGACCAGTGTCCAGAAGTAGACGAACAACCAGAAATTTTCGCCGGAGTTTACGGCGCCCCGGCTTGAGATACATATTGGGGATGTAGTCTCGCCTCATTTTATAGCCGATTTACAAACAGAAAACAGAGCACTCGGGATATTCCCATAAGTGGTTCGTCGCCATCTTCAGCAGTCAGCTCAGCGTCCCATTCCGATAGTAAAATTTGAAGTGTGATTATATTCTTATTGTAGAGTGTCAGTCAGGTGCCCTGGCTACTCAGTTTTTTTTTATAAAGAGCAATAGTTTTTTGAAGGCTGATGTTGTCATTGGCACGCCTACTGTCTTTTCTTCCCATAACATTTCTTGATACTGTTTAAGGCTAGGTCGGTCTGGAACACGACAATTTGATGAGCGCCCCACCCCCACCCATACAGGGATTTCTAGTTTTCTGAATTGTTTTGCCAGTCGGGTGGCATCTGCCTCTGGTCGCTGCACTGAGATAAAGAAGTTACATAGTGTCGCATACGTTTCCACACACTGAAGAGATAAACATACCACGAACGTCATCACAAGCATATCTCCAGTTGTGATTTAACATGTTATTCAGCAGTGAAGACACATATGGAAATGTGCTTTCGAAGCAATGGCAGGCATGTGGAGAATATACTAACAAACAAAAAAGGTTTTATTTGAAAAACAATGTGTTCATTTTTTTTCCTATGTAGGAAACATAGGGCAGCCTATAGTTCAGTGACTCCCGACCTTTCTAATGCCGCGATTATTAAAAAAGTTCCACGTGTTGGGGCAGCCCCCCCCCCCCCCCCCCACCATAACATTTTTCTCGTTACTACTTCATTACTTTAGTGAATCTGTGTTTTTCCGATGGTCTTATGTGACTCCTGTGAAATGGTCGTTCGACCCAAAAGGGGTAGCGACCCACAGGTTGAGAACCGCTGCTATAGATCGATCCCATGTGTGTGTTGGTGGGGACATTTATGTAATTAGTTGCTACCTTTCCATCTTTCCAAGCATTAGTGGAAATCACAGCCTATGTGGCTGACGAATGTGACTTTCAAGACTCGCATGAATATAATAACAAAATATTCTTTCACAATTGCAGCATGGGATTTTAGGAATATTTTGGTCATTGCCATGTTCTTAACACATTTGTGAGTATTTCTTCTGTATCCGTATCGCGTTCCTGATTTCTCCTCTTCATTGCAAAATCGTCCATGTTGTCATGATTTATTCAAGTCCTACTTGTACACATTGTTATAGACGCAGCTCCTGAAAACGTCCACTTATCTGTAAGCATCATAGAGAATGCCCTCAGGGACGCGAGATGCAATTTTTCGTTATTTCGAAGCCACACCCTGGCTTTGGTCAGGGGCCGCAATATATCCCCACCATAAATATGGTCTAATGGCTGAACGCGGTTTCCGGAACCTCTCCACGAGTGAACCTCATCCGCATGGTGGTACTTTGTGTCATTAGGTGTTTATCGCTTGTGTGATGTCTTAGTGGGGTGAAATGTACTACTGCTACTACCCTCAGGGACTCTACTATCCTCTGTCCTCTAAGTGTGCACTAACCATCTGCACCTTCAAATAATGAGCACTGAGACAATTGTTGGGAAACCTACTCTTTCCAATACTTTAATGTGTGTGATCTCGTATTGCCACTAAGTTTGAAGTATTCCTCTTAGGCATCACATTGAAAAAATAGTTTGCCGTTTCCCCAGTATAAATACCACAAGCTATATATGAACATGGAACAAAGTCAGATAGAAAACGGAAGTAGTGAAGCGTTACTTACCTGTAGATCTGTCCCTTCTGGATACACTTATAGTCTTCTGTGATAAAGTATATAGCAACATCTGTCCTTTGATCAGACTAGTTGAGTAATGGCCGACTACGATGTGACCTTTCAGGATCTAGCGACAGAATCACATCACAAAGAAATGAAGCCTTGTTACCAATTTAAAGGCCTTATTAATCGTAGGAATCAACCTGCAGTTAATAATAATATGGTTTGGAGCAACAAGCTTTCTTGGGAGGGCGAGAAACAAAAATTAGTAGCCTGCTGCTAACCCGTGATAAGCCAACCCCACCTCCCAATGGTGCAGACTGGAAACTTTATGTGCAATGCTACAGACCAAAAGGCTAACCAATCGACTCTCAGTGGGTGATGTGGTCAATATCACAATGGCGGCCTTTATTTCTAAGGCTGTTACCTTTAGACTGGGTCGACCTAGGAGCTAAGGTCATTTTTTGAAAACATCAAGTTGGATGAGGATTTAATTTTTCAATCTTCAGCTCCGAGGCGAGCATGTAGCAGCTACACCACGGCGGCCCCTCTCTCTTATTAGACAGTATTAGTAGTAGTAGTAGTAGTAGTAGTGGTGGTGGTGGTGATGGTAGTGGTAGTGGTGATGGTGGTGGGGGTGGTAGTGGTGGTGTGGTGGTAGTGGTGGTGGTAGTGGTAGTGGTGGTGGTAGTGGTGGTGGTGGTAGTGGTGATGGTGGGGGTAGTGGTGGTAGTGGTAGTGGTGGTGGTGGTGGTGGTAGTGGTGGTGGTGGTGGTAGTGGTAGTAGTGGTGGTAGTGGTGGTGGTAGAAGTAGTTAACGTTTCAATTTTACTGCAATCGGGTCACCGCATACATGTTCCGTTCCTGCGACAGTGAAAATTATTGAAAGGTCCCTCGCTGTACTATTTGATTAAACTGATGAACAAACAATTAATCTCGGCACAAGCCAGATTCATACGCAGGCAGTAAAGACCTAAAGCAACAGTCGCCACCAGAAACGTAGCTTTGTCGTTGATGGAAGTAGTCAGTTCCGAAAAGTTGGCCAAATACACGCACATTAGACAGTGTCACCGGTCAAAGATCGGCCCACAATCTGTTACTACCCATGACACTTGACAGCAAAAGTGGAAACGGATAAAGAAAATGATGATTTCATTGTCCTGGTGATGATTATACTAACTGAAAGCCACATTTGCCAAGAGCAGACGGTTGTCCAAATATTTACCTGCTGACACGGACGCCTGAAAGGATTGTGTCCGAGTCTGAATGGTGGCAGTTATAGCAGTCTAGAATCCGTTGGCGTCACTAGGCCTAGGGGTCTACTGCTATCACATGATTTAGTTAATGTCATTGCCATGGATTATATTTCAGAAAATACAGATCGTTACAAGGTACGATGGCTTGCTACCGCAGATATGATGAGGATAACAGTGACGAGGATTCAATCATCATGATCACCACTGTTATCATAATCATCATCATCATCATCATCATCATCATCATTATCATCGCCATCATCGTCAACATCAGCGTTATCATTAAAATCACTGTCATTATAAATTATTATTATTATAAGAAATACTATAATAATAGTCAACACTATCAGTATTATTATCACAATCATCATAATCATTACCATTATCGTATTGATCCTCACCATTATTATCATCACTATATGTCTGAGGAAAATGTTGAATATAAATTTGGAATAGTTCAAGAGGTGTGAAGAATAAGAGAAATCTCTGGGCAACCATTGGTATCAAGAGTTATAAGACCGAGGTTTGATGTTTGAGCAACGGATCAACATCATGGCACACGGGTAGTAATACATAAGTGCTCCGTTCTTCTTCTAACTCAAGTCTGAGTCCGAAGAAGCTCAGTACAGTACACAGGTTATGTAGCAATGGCGAGGATCCGGAAATACTTTAGGTAGATTTTTAACCCTAC